TGGGTGATGGATGCGATACCCAGAAGATGCTTCCAGGAAGCCACCATAGCTGCTTCCTTCTGTCCAGCTCTGGACACGGTCACAGTAGAGGAGCCGAGAGCAGGCCAGGGTCCTGTCCCTGTCCTCCCAGACCCAAGGCAGCAGTGAGGGCGCAGGAGGCCCAGCCGTAACCCTGGCCCTGGGCAGTCCTGGAGTGCAACCTGGCTGGCTGCTCCTGCTTTAGGAAGACTCAGAGTATCTTGTCTAAGGTCACAGCAGCAGCAGGCACTGGTCAGTGCATCTGGCCAAGCTTCCTATCCTGTACTCCAATCAGGCGGGCAAATCGGTTAACCTTACTGTGTCAGCTGGACTGGAATGGGAGCTGCTGGGGAGATTAGGGAGGCGTACCTCAGCATCTGGGTGGGCTGTGGGCGTGGCCTTGGGGTCTGTTCCTGGTCTCTCACCATTCTACTCCAGCACAGGTCCCTGCTCCGTCTCCCAGCAGCCGTGAGCCAAGTATCTCTCCTTGCCACGCCATTTGCCATGATGTCCCTGCCTTGGAGCCTTCTGAGCATGGACTGCACCCTCTGAGCCCATGAACCAAGAACCCTGCTCCTCCTGTAAGCTGTGGGTTTCAGACAAGGGTCTCAGCTGAGCAAGCTGACCAGCACCCTGCCATGGCCTGTTGCATGGATGGCTGCAGAGGTGGAGGGATAAGGGACAGTTCACACCCCTCGAGTTCCCCCCAAGTCAGCTGCTGCACCCCTGTGAGCCAGCTGCTTCTTAGGACCAGGCCGCAGGAAGAATTGTCGACCCTAGGGCCCTCTCCCCAGGGTGGCGGGACTGGCGAGCTGCCTGGTCAGAGGCCTCACTCCCGGCTGACCAGGATGGTCGCTGCCATTTCATTGTCTTTCTTACAAGCTGGAAAATTATTATTCATGACAACAAACTTAAAAATGAAATAATAAGTCTGTCCTTTTAGAAAGCAAATTGGGATGTCGGAATATTCATGAGCTGTGACTTCAGGGGAGATTATCATTTGGTTAAGTCAGCAGCGGAGGAATTTAGGGAAATGTGCCTGTCAGTCTGAGGAAGCGGGTGATTAATACTTTCCTGTTTGCGGGGCCCCTGGATGGGTGCATTTTAATGTAATAATTAATTAACCTTGGATAGCTCACATTTCACGGGCTCCTGATGCCTTGTCTGCCCAGGGGGGCACAGCCCCTCCCCAGCCCAGCACCCAGTCTGACTCCGGGGACCTCTGAGACACAGCACCAGGAGGATAGGGTTGAGCCCCACTGGCTGCAGGCCTCCCTGGGCGGGGAGGGGGGCACAGCCGCAGCCTGCAGCAGTGACTGACTGACCTGTGAGGGGGACTTGGGGAAGGCTGTTCTCGTGCCGCCTGGCTTCCTGTGGACGTGGGGTCTTTGTAGATGGTTTGGCCAGAGATCTCCGGCTGAGGTCACCCTGGAGTTAGGTGGCTACAGTCCTTACCCCAGTGGGGAGGACAGGGAAACAGGGGAAGGCCACCGCTGAGACTCAGGCAGGACAGCAGGAACGGGAGAGGTGGAGCTGAGCCCCAGAGAGACCAGTCCTGAGCACCTACTGCTGACCACCCCCTGGGTCGCCAGGGCAGGGACCTTGTGAGCAGGGCACCCTCTCTGGGTTGTACCTGTTGTCACGAGGCCCGGTGCATCAGCAGGGTGGCTCTGGGGGGCTCTGAGGGGCCACAGGGCAGCACAGTGCCTCCATTGGCACTGCAGCAGGCTGTGGAGAGGGCAGGACCACGTCCGGCTGCCCGCCTGCTTCTCTTTAGGTCTCGGATCTCAGATCTCATCCGTAGAGCGTGGGTCCAGAGCTGTGCTCACACCTGGGCGCCCAGCAAGGGCACAGGACTGAGGGTCTCAGCACCCGCCCAGCCTCCCTCGTGCCCATCCCTGTGGCCCTTCCAGAGTCCTGCACTCATGCTGCGGGCTGGCACCTTCCTCGCCCGGCCCCTCAAGGCCCCTGCACTGGCTGAGGATGTAATGTGGGGACCCAGAGGTCCAGGTCACCCCCACAGGCACACGCGTGGTCACAAGCACTACACTCACGGCATGCGTTCCTGGATACACACACACACATGCACAAAGGTGCTCCCACCTGAATGCACTCACACACACAAGCGTGCACACACCCACATACACACGCGCATGCACATACTCACCCCACCCGGCACCCCCATGTCCCCTTCTAGGCAGGACGGCTCACCTGCGCCCCCTAGTGGCTTTCTTAAGGCACTGCCTCTTTCCCTTTTTTCTTTTTGGTTGAGATGGGGTTGAACAGTGACTGTGTAATCCAGGCTGGCCTCAAATTCTTGATCTTCCTGCCTCAGCCTCTTGAGTGCTGGGTTATAGGTGTGCATGAGAAGGCCCGGAAGCCTTCATTTTATTTTTGTTTGTTTTTGGTTTATTTGAGATAGGATTTCACTATGTAGCCCAGCCTGGCCTTAAACTTGCAGTGATCCTCCTGCCTCAGCCTCCTGAGTGCTGGGATTATAGGTGTACATCACCAACCTTTCACTTTCTTAAGCAACTCAAGCCAGAGTTAGGAGACTAGGAGGGGACCTAGATGGGGGTCAGCGATGTCTCTGTCCACAGGGGGTGAGGTTTAGGCCAAGCCTGAGGAGGTCGGGTGTAGTGTCCAGCATGAGGGTGGCAGGGGTGGCCCACACTGGCCCACAGTGACCTTGGGCCAGCATGGACCTCGGTTCAAATGAGCAGGAACCCCTATGTGAATTCCCTTGAAAGGATGCCCCATCCTCCAATGGGCTGGGACCCTGTGACATGCCTGCCTCCAGTGGCCGCAGCACGTGGTAGGTACTCAGTGAGCCCTAGAGCTGTGGGTGCTGGGTTCCCTGAAAGCAGGGGCCAGCTTCGGGGAGCAGCACCCAGGCTTTGAGGGCTCTGGGGAGAAGCTGAGCCCCACAAGGCTGGGAGGTGGAACTTAGGATATGCTCCCATGAAGAGCTGTACCCAGCACTCCACTTATCCTCTCCCAGAGGGTGAGAACCCCAAAGTACCTCCCTGGGCTGGGGCCAGGTGGCCTCAGGGACTCTAGGCAGCCCCTCCATGTCCATGCAGAAGTGCAGCCCTTGGAGAAGGGAAGTGAATAGGGCACCTAGCCCGCCAGCTGGTTCCCAGGGTCCTCCCTATGTGCACCCCTCAATCCAGCCATACGTCTAGCAAAGGGACTTGTCCCAGGTCCTGTTGGGTGCTCCCTGTCATTCCTGATTCCAGGGGATGGGGGTGACCACCACTGGCTCTTTCCTGGGGAGGAGCTGCCCTGGTTTATACCATCTCTCAGCCCCCTTGGACATATTTTGCCAACATGGTCAGGGTGCCAAGGGCTGGGCACCCAGCATGGGCTTCCTGGAAGAGGAGGTCCTTGGCTCTGAAGCATGGGCTGGTTTCACACTGGGAGCAGGAGGAGTGAGGGAGAGGCAGGGACTGTGCTAAGCCTGGGGAGGGAAGACGCAGCTTCCTGACATGACCAGCAGGGGCCTGGAGCCTGTCATTCCTGCACCCTGGAAGAAGGCTGAGGCTAGGGTATGGCCCCAGGAGCTCCTGGGAATAAGCTTGGGCCAGGCATGGGCAGCTTGGGCCCTCAAGGGCAGAGCCACTGGCCAACTCAGGACAGATGACCATGTGTCCCCGGCGTCCAGCCTGGCTGGGCCAGTGGATCCTCTGCCAGCACTGGAGTCAAGACCCATCATGGAGTCATTTTAGGAACAGGTGAAGCTGGTTAGTCACTCAGCATTACTGTGTGTTGTAGGCAGGGGTTATAGGGAGAACAAGACCATACAGGGCACATAATTTATAGTATTACTTATAATGGTCACCCAAGGAATGGAATACAAAGAAAGTGCAGTAAATCTGTCCACACACTTGAGACCTGGAAAATCTAGCCAAGGGCCTGAGTGCCAGGGCAATAACCTGCATGTGCCCAGCTGAAGATCTACAGCCCATGACAATGTCCCCAACAAGTCCAACTGGAGGCCTACAGCCCATGACAATGTCTCATGCAAGTCTGTTTCACCGGTCTGTGTTGGGAAGGCCCAAAGGTCAGCGGTGGAAGCCTGAAAGCCTGTGCCAGTGGGGTGAAGGAGCTGTGCCAGCTGGCTGAGAGAGCTGCACCAGTGCCAGGAGTGATGCCCAAAGTAAGGCCCAGAGCTCCTCCAAAAAGTACCACAGCCATTCTTGATGACAGCGAGGTGCCTTGCTCCCACCAAGTTCATATCGGGAAAGAAGCTCAGTAAGCCCCTCCAGGAGAATCAACAGCACCACTCCTCCCTCTCCAGGCCTCCTTTTTATGCTGGCAGTGATTCTCAGGCGGGCCCTCTGCACCTAGTACCACACTGACTCAGTTCAGCTGGACCTTGCACATTAACCCCAGTTACCAGTACACCTCATTGAGGTTACAGATGACAGGGAGGGGCCATCCTAAGGCCCTGAGTTCGATCCCCAAAGTGGCTCTACTGCTGAGCTGCACTTCCAACAAAGGTAAAAATGAATGTATTTTACTTAACCCAAAATATGTATTTAATATAAACATGCCATCTATATAAGGTCCTGACCGCGCTATGTCACATCCTTTGGCCCTCGCTGATAGCCAGGGTATCCCTAGCCCGGTAGACCAAGCCAGCTTTCACCAACCAGCGCTCCACACAAGCAGAAGTAAAGGGCGGTCAAAGAACTACAGCCCTCAGCATGCATCTGTAGTGATGATGATGCACTTCCTGTGCGCTGCCGGGGAGGGGTGCCTGCCGTAGAACTACGATTCCCGGCACGCGACGGGAGCGTCCGTTACGCATTTCCGGTGCGGCGGAGATAGCGCGCCCCTGGCGGTTGTGCCACTGCAGCGCGGTGGCTGCTAAACGTCGCTTGGGCCGCAGCGAGTGACGAACTGCTGGGCAGAGGGGAGCCGGGGCGGGGCAGCGGCGTGGCCCAGCGAAAGAGCGCGCGGCAGCCCGGCCCCGCCCCAGCTCCCGCCCGCCGCCCGCCGCCCGCCGCCAGCCCGCCCCGGTGACCTTCACGGGCCCGGGCGGCCGGCGCAGGCCCGGGCGGCGGCGGCGTGATGTTCGTGCAGGAGGAGAAGATCTTCGCCGGCAAGGTGCTGCGACTGCATATCTGCGCGGCCGACGGCACCGAGTGGCTAGAGGAGGCGAGCGAGGACACGTCGGTGGAGAAGCTCAAGGAACGCTGCCTCAAGCACGTAAGGCCGGGTCCCGCGCCCCCGCCCCGCCTTGGCGTCGGCCTCCGAACCCGCCTGGACCTGGGGTCCAAGCGGACCCGCTGGGCAGCTTGCGGCACCCACGTCCTCTCTGCCCCTTTTATCTGAGCCCCGGCGGGCAGTCGCCTCCCCAGCCATTTCTTTTGCGCTTTTTGCAGTTAGCCAGGAGGTGGGGTGGAGGGGAGTCCCGGCAAGATGGGCTCGCGGCTGTCCAGCGTTTGTGCTGGCCTGGAGTTGGGGTGAGGTCTGGGTTTTCACCCCTAGAGCTGAGAGTTAGTGCAGGTCCCTTCCTTAAGAGGCGTCTTCCTCTTCTCTGCCGGGCCGGGCAGCTGCTTGCCTGTGAGCCCGGGCTTGGCCCTGAACTCGAGTCGCCTAAAATAGCACCGTGGCTTTTCTGTGGGGGTGAAATGCATTCAACAGGATGGTGCAAACCGGCGTTTTCTACTTGTTGAAGTTCACTTAGAAGAAACGCGCCTTAGGTGGAGGTGCACCTTAGCTCTTGAAACTGCCTCTAAACCCAACTCTTGCGGTAAGGTCGGCGTCTGTCAGAGCCTGGTGGCCTGAGGAGTACCCTGTGGGAATTTAGGTTAAAGGTGGCCGCAGCTGTTCGGTGGAGACTGCGTGGGAGCGGTCCCTGTCTATGCTTGACAAGTGTTTCTCTGAGATAGGGCTGTTGTCTCCCAGGGTGAGCCTGCAGTTAGGATTGAAGTCACTGCTGCCAAAGAGAACTTTTTGGTTATCTCTTTCAGGAGTGTGGCTGGGGGGGACTCCCTCTGTAAATGTAGGAGGTGGCCTGGGAGACCCATCCTGGTTATCAGACCCCTCTGGAGCACACTGCGCTGAATGTGAGTCTGGGTGGGGGAGTGTCTGAGCCTCTCAGGGAGGCTCACATATTCAAGGGCAGTGTATCACCTTCTTTCTTGTGGTTTAGTTCTTATTTATGTTTTTTGAGAGAGGGTCTCACTCTGCCTTGATCTCCAGGAAGCCCCCTGGCTTAGCCCCTCCCAGTGCTGGGGTTACAGGTGTGTGCCATTTTGCCCTTTCTCTGGTATTTTTAATAGCCTAGCCCATGTAGTTTGACTGTTTGGAAGCCCCACTGCCCTGCCATGGGCTCCTCAGTGGCTTGTCTGTGTTCATCAGAGTGGCCATCCATATAAGTATAAGAATTCCTGGGAGAAATGAAAATAGCTTTTTTTTTTTTTTTTTTTTTTAATTTAAAAAGAAAAAAGAGAGAAAAAACAAAAACAAAAACCAAAGCAGTACAAGGGTACAAGTAGTTCAGAATTTCAAGAAAAAAAATAAACAGTAAGGTATCACTAGTTAATAGATTACACATTGTCATCTTAGAAACAGTTGTCCAAATTACAAAATTAAAGCATACAAAGTGGACATTCATACAGTGAGATTGCAGACAGTTCTGTTCAATGATCCAACAAAAACTCAGTAATATGGTTTTCTATCCTACACACTTAAATATACATGTAGTTATATCCTTTAGACCACTTTCTTTTCCTCTCTTTTTTTATAATAACAATTACACTCTGGTTTTCATTACTCCCACAGTTCTTATTACTTTTTTTTTTGAAGAGAATAAAACCAAATGTGACAAAACAAAACAGTCAGTTAGAACAGAAGGATGGACATAGTATATGATGCAAAAATAGAATAACAGGTGATCCAAAAATGATTACCATTATGCCTCTTGCTATCTTGAAAAGAGTTGCCTATATCATCAGGTATAATAGAGTTGAACAAAACAGTACAGAACAAGACCAATAAAACCTACATTGGAGACCTTATAGGACTTCAAAAGGAGATAATAGTCCAACCGTAATTGGCATGATAGTAAATCTTATTGTCTTCAAAGTGGTTGCCTATACCCTCAAACTTGATAGTATCAAACAAAACAGAATATAGTAAAATCAGACAGAACAAGATGGGGAGAGCAATACTGGGGTTCAAATCAGGTTAATAGGAAAACAAAAAAAGTTACTGTAATATATCCCGCTATTTTTTAATTTAGTTTTCCCTTAATTAAAAAATAAGAAAAAATAATTTTAAAAAAAGTGGGAGATCGAGATAAAAGAGGACATAGTAACAGAACAACACAGGTCAGAACCAAATAATTTAAGCATCATTGTGTTTTACCACCAGATAACCTGACATAATAGTAGTCACCATATTGTCTCTTTCCTTGAATTATTTGAGTATAACTTCGTATACTTATAGCATCAAACATATCAAGACAGTGTGAAGCCATTCAAGAGAATGTACGCATTACAGGGTATTTTAGAACCAGCTAACAGAAAACGAACAACGGTTTCTATATTATCTCTTTGCCTATAAAAATTTTTGTTTATACTATCACATATAGTAAAATATAATGAGATACAACATGTTAAAACCCATGGAAACCAATGAGAAAACAGATTTTTAACTCCAAATGCAGGGCCACCGACTGTGGTGTTGAGTTAACTCATCCATGCTGGGGACTCACAGTGTGGCCGCAAAAGTGCTTTGCGCAGGAAAGCACTAGGAAATGATGCGTGGATGTTTACTAATAAATTTCAGAAGTACATGGGGTTCATTAGGCAGCCAATTTCAGTAAGATGCTAATTACCTGTGATAGTTATTGCTCCCATGGGTATTGAGATTGTAACTTTTTTTAAAAAAATCATTTCCTCTGTAAATTGAGATTTTATTCCACTTTGCAGTCTCCCCAGGTGCGTAGGATCTGAGCAGCAGGAGATTTCATGCTGAAAGAGCTGACATAAATTATGGGACTGGAGAGCTGAGCCATCAGAAAGTGTTCCCGTCCATGTCCCGTCTGTCTGTCCTGCAGTCAGAAAGCCCTAGTGGGAAGGAATGGGCTCAAGTTGTGCTCTCAAATGTCACCCCAGAAACCAGGGCCCACATGTGCCGTCCATGTAGGTGGCGAGGCTGAGACGCCTGTGTCTTGGCTTGTTTTCCTCCTTCCCAGAGTCCCTTGCGCATGCCCACACCAGCAGCGTTGGAGGGGTTCTTCTTCCCTTTTTCCCCTCCCCCTCCACTCCTGGCGTTGCTGGGAGCCGCAGTAAGGGGGATTACCACCCTGACTGAGGAAACGGATTGCTGTTTTGCTTTTGCCTTTTTGTTTTCTCCAAAGTTTGTGCTCCTTGGCAGTCTCCAGTGGCCGCCACTCAGGTCCTGGCAGGGCCCATGTGGGTGCTATAGTCACAGGGCATTACTGACACTAAGAAAATGACCTCGGGCTGTAGTGGTTCTCTGTGACTCTGTACCTTGCTCATATGGCCCCGTGAAGCTGCAGGGCCTGTCATCTGTGTGTGATAGAGAGCACTGGGTCTGAGCAATGCGAAGGTGTAGCTCCTCTGGGAGGACACAGGGTGGGGCACAGAGTTGATCTCCACTGGGGTGCGTGGTCTGATACAGTGACAGGTGAGCTTGTCTGTGGCGGGGGTGACACAGTGGTGGGATGTAGAGTTTTGGAAACCAGGGTGAGGATTGTTTTAGAAAATTATGTTTCCTTGACCATATTCTGAACTTCACATGTCAACTAGAATTACCTGCAAATTCTAGGATTACAAACCGGCTCACTCCGTATTTCTGGGAGCAGATGGTTGCCAGGCTCAAGGAAAGTAGGGCTGCCTGCTCTGTGATCAGTGGTAACAGCACAGTTGGCTGTTGGCTGGATTCCACTTCCTGTGCCCCACGGCCTTGCCAGTTTGGGGCAATGTTTGGTGACCCTAGAATCCTTCATAATGTTTTCTCAAAACTGTTTTTCAGTCTTGACACTAATGGAACATTCTATTTACTCCTAAAATGCTGGCTTTGAGAGTGGACACTGGTTTAGTTTTTCCTTCTTTTCCAGTTAGCTGTGGGTGTGGGGTATTTCTGGGCTTCTGTGGCAGCAGGGGGAGGTGGTAAGCTAACATGCCTGGCTTGTTCTGGGGCCTGGAGGACTGAGGTGCTGGGCATCCTTGGTGGGCGCATTCTGGGGTGGCTGTGCCCTCCTGTAGGCCAAGTGGGTGCTGGACGCTGCAAGCAGTGTCTCTGGTCTCTTGGCCTGTTTCCTTTCCTGGCCTGTAGATACTCTGCTATCGATGCCCCAGGATCCACAGGCGCCGGTCAGCAGTCTTGTCCCTGGGCCTGCATAGACAGGAGAACAGAAACTCGTGGGACTTTGCTGCGGTACCCGAGGCCTTCCCGCTGCTCCTCTCACCCCGGGCGTGGGATCTGGAGGACCAGAGCTGTCTAGGGAATGCATGGTGTGTGGGCTGAGGCAGATAGGTGAGGAGGGATACTCTGATCAGACTCTGATGAGGCACCCTGAGTCCGGGCTGCTGTGCCACTGTGTACTTGGTGCTTGGGCCGTGCCAAGAGCCACACAGGAGTCTTGCTATCCTGCCGTCCTGCAGTCGTGCTGTCCTGTGGTCCTGCTGCACACGTGCCCTGGGCATTGTGGAGCTCGAGGAGGGCAGGGCCTGCCAGTAGTGTGCATTGGGGCTATGAGGCGACAGTGCAGGACTGGGTGGGACCCTGTTATCAGCAGCCATAGGAGAGGCTTTTGGGTGTCATGTCCTCCTCACCGCCAGAGGTGGGTGGCCTCTGCCAGTGGCTGGGGACCTCAATCTCTGCCTCCCTCCAGGGCCCCATCTGCGTCGCTGGGCAGGCTGCAGGGCTCTGGAGACTTGCACAGGACTCAGTACCCATGATCCCCTTGGAGTTGCCCCAGGAGGGGACTCTTGAGCTGCATCCACAGTATGGACATTGCTTGGTGGGCAGAGGCCTGGTTCCTGGGCTCTGGGGAGCCGTGTTCTTTCCTTGCTGTCTCTCCACTCCTGTCATGTGTCTGTGGAGTAGAGGGAAACAAGTGCACATATGATACTCGGGTCTTTAGTTTGCCTGGAAGCAGTGGACCTATGTTGACTTAAAAATGACTGTCCAGTGGGCATAGTGGTGCACACCTATCCTTATAGCTCTGAGGGAGACAGAGGCAGGAGGGCCTCAAGTTTGAGCCCAGCCTGGGTAATGTAGCAGCACTTTCTCTTAAAACTAAAAAACTTAAATAGAAAGAGGTGGAGATATAACTCAGTGTAGAAGTACTGAAGAAAAGAGGCCTTTGGAGAGCTTTCCAGACCAGAAAGCAGTTTGGGTCGTCACTACTTAGAATGTCGTATGTCCGAGTTGGAACTGCCCTCCGAGTGCAGAGTAGGAGGCCGTGGGAGTTGGAGGCCTGGGGCACGCATCCTGGGAGTTCCTTGGGCTTACTGGTTATCCTTTGATTTCCACTGCACTTTCATATCTCAGCTAGGGAGAAAACCTACAGATTCCCACATGGCCGTGTACTGGGGCATTGTGACTTGTTTAATTTTATTCCTCAGTGTGCTCATGGGAGCCTAGAGGATCCCAAAAGCGTCACCCACCACAAACTCATCCATGCTGCTTCTGAGAGGGTACTGAGTGACACCAAGACCATCCTGGAGGAGAATGTGCAGGACCGAGGTGAGGGGCTGCAGGGTGGGGCGTGGGCTGGGGCTGGGCCTCACACCATGTCTGTGGCCCAAGTTGGCTCTGAGTGGGAAAACCAGGCTGACTCTGGTTTTATTTTTCCTTTATTAAAAAAGTATGTGTTACGGAGTGTTTGTGAAAAACAGCAGACATCAAAACTGAGCAAGCAGCAGACATCCCAGAAGCCAAACATGAGCTTTATTTTTAATTCTGCTCAAAGCAACCCAGACTCTGGAGCGTCTGCAGGTTTTATTTTTGGGTGAAATGATGGCTGTGGCTGTTGGCTGAGGCCGTGTAGTGAGATGTGCTGTCACACATGGCTGCTCCGTGTCTTAGCATCGTTTAACAGACTTCATCTGAAAGTCCTGGAAGCTGGGACCTTGGACACGTGCTCACAGACCTGTGCTGAGTGTGGTCGTTGGCCTAGCTGGGCCCTGAGAGGTGACAGGTGACCTATGGATTGGGGACCGGCCACGCCTCAGCTTGTTGATTCACAGCAGCCTATGAGAATTGTGCATTTTGCAGGATTCTTACTAGTTCTCTTTGTGGTCATCAGGACTCTGCCAGGTCACAGCCTGGTGACCCATAGCCTCATCCTTTCCCATGCAGGGGCCCATAGGTCAGCCAGAGCCTTGTGGGCAGCACAGAAATGGTGGGGAGGGGGGTGGCTTTTGGGTTTAGGAGGGACAGAGAGCCCCCTTTCTGTGCTCAGGAAGGGTGCCCAGCACCCTTCATGATGCCTGGGCTGTGTGGCCTGCTCTGCCTAACCGGTACATGTGGCTTTGCAGATGTCCTACTGCTGATAAAGAGGCGCACCCCCGCCCCACTTCCTAGGATGGCTGAGGTCTCGGCAGAGGAGAAGGTGAGTTCCGGGCGGTGGTCTTTGCCTTCCCAGAGGAAGCGCCTGTCCCTCCTGGGCTGCCTGTGCCCTGCTCACAGTGCTGGCGGTAGCAGTGAGCCGGTCTCTGTGTGACCAGCCCGCCTGTTCCCATGGGCCCTGCTGCCATCAGCTTTACCCCTCTGCATCCTCCTGCCTTTTCTGCCTTTGAGCTGCATATGGGTGCCATGGGATAGAGAGCGTCACTAGGGACCTGCGCCCAGACCAGAGCAGGGGTGCAGAGCATGGGCAGCACTCGCCTGGGCCGCTGACCACAAAGCCGGCTGTGCCTGTCCCCTCTGCTGCTGGCAAGGCAGAATTGCGTGTCTGGAGTCAAGGGGTCGGCTCTCATCTGTGCCTTTCTCAGAATCTAGCTGCCGCAGAGACTGCGGTGTGCTTCACGTTTGGCATCTGCCCCTTCGCTCCTTTGCTAGTGGGAGATTGTCCTGGGCACCCCCCACCCCCACCCTACCACATAGGGCCTGTGCCTTGGTGCAAAGCGGCTGCCAAGCCTCACAGTTCGTCCTGAGGTGCTGGCGGTTCTGCCTCAGCTCTGAAAAGCCAAGGAGTGTGTTTGCCCTGCACGGGAGAGAAGCCTGCCTCTTGGGACACGGCCTGGCCTGAGAGCCAGTGAGCTATTTTGGGGCTTCCTCTGGGCGATGGATATTTAAGGAGCCAGTGTCCAGAGCTTGGGCTGCCTTATCTCAAGCCACACCTGGCCACCGTGTGGGTGTGGACTGGCAGGGGCCCAGGGAGAGGTCTGGTCTACCCCTGCCACAAGCCAGGCCCGCTTCTGAGTGCTGCGGCTAGAGGCAGGTGTCCCCTTACAGCTAGAATGGGCAGCTGCGTTCTGGCGCAACCCCTGCTGCAGCCACTGAGCCACCTGCTGCCCTCCTCGCCTCTGCTCCTGTGCGCAGAACCACTGGAAGCCATTTGTTCGTGGTTCTGTGATCAGTTTTTCTAAGTCAAAAGAGCACTGATATTCTTCTTTTTTTTTTTTTTTTTTTGGTACTGGGGATTAACTTGACTGTGCACTTACAAGGCAGGTGCTTATGCCGCTGAGTTAAATCCCCAGCCCCTTGCTCATGTTTTAATAAAATCCTGCCTGAATCATGCTCCCTAAAGGTAACCATTCACTGATCTTTCAGCTGGTGTCTTCTATAGCTCTCTTCCTAATTCTGGAAAGGTCTGTGTTTTCTGTAGCTCTCTTCCTAATTCTGGAAAGGTCTTCTGTAGCTTTCTTCCTAATTCTGGAAAGGTTGTCCACTGCTTGCTCAGTTACCCCTGTAGACAGCCCTTAGTGATGGGGACATGGCTTCCTAGCCTCCTGCCTGGCGTGCCTGGAGTGTTAGATAAAGATAGTCTCAGTGGCCCTATTACTGTTCTTTAAGCATTGTTTTCTGCCACAGGGTAAGTGTGATAGGGTTATTAAGGAAAGCTCGGCACGGTGTTATTCCTTGGGAGGCTGAGACAGGTGAACCACAAGTTCAAGTCCTGGTGAGGTTACATAGTAAGACCTTGCTTTAAAAAAGAAGCTGAGGCACATGGTGTGTGTGTGTGTGTGTGTGTGTGTGTGTGTGTGTGTGATGCACACACACACACACACACACACACACACACACACATACATACACCCAGACCCAGTAGATTACCTGGGAGCTGTGATCCAGCATTGCCAAGCATGGGTGAAGCCCTGTGTTCAGTCAAGTGTCACACACATGTGCACGCACATGCACATGAGCGTATACATGCACACGGGTTTTTTTCTGTCATTAGGAATTGAACCCAGAATCTTGGCACTGAGCTACATCCCCAGGACTCTTTAAAATTTTTTCATTTTTGAGATTTAGTTGAGTTTTTAAATTCCCCAGGCAGATCGTGACCCTGTGACCCTCCCACTCCCACCTTGCAGGGCCGAGACCCTCTTTTTCTGTGCTCCACCTCTCTTGGCCTAGGTGGTTGCCCTGCCTGGTGCTCTATTGCGGACTCATCCTCCCGGAGCCGAGCACCCCGGCCTGACCAGTCTTCTTCCCTCTGTGTCAGGACCCTGTCTGCCTGGCAGGTCCCCATGGGCTCCTCTCATCCGCCCTTCACCCGGGGCTCGGACATCCGAGATCCGGCTTGATTCCTTGCTGTGGGCTCAGGGGCAGATGGGGACACCTGCTGGCCCCTCCTGCGCCTGACCGGGGGCCCATCTCTCGCTGGTATCGGCAGGGGCAACTCTACTCCATGGCAGTGCCCATGTCCCCTGGCGTGGCCCCTCCAGGTCAGGTGACAGCCCTGTGACGGCCTGCTGCAGAGGGACAGTTGGCCGGCTGGCGTCTTCTTGCCTTGCCCCTGGAGTCTGCCTGGGCCAGGAGGTCAGGTGTTGCGCTCTGCCTGCCGGGAGCTCTGGCCCGGCCGCTCCTCAGGGGCCTCTGGGGCCTGACACGGGCTCTGGTGCCACACTGCACCTCTCTGTGCTGGCTGTGTGACAATGGGGATTCCACGTTGGAGTCAGGAAGCTTGGCTCTGGGTCACCTTTGGTAACTGCTTCTCCCGTCTTTCTCTTTCCATCTTGGCCCTCAGGGGAGGCTGGGGGCCACTGCTTCCTTGTCCTCTGTGGCCTGGGCCCTGCACCTCCAGTTGAGGGGGTGGGGCGCGCTCTTCTCTGCTGCTGCCTTTCTCCTTCCGGTTCCCTTTCTGCCTTTGTCACTATCCTCAGTGGGATGTCACCCTTGTGCCCTGTCGGGGGGGGGGGGCAGGGTCTCCTGCTGGCTTGAGAAGGAGCTGCTGTACCCCTCCCCGGGCACCTAGGTGCTCTGGGGTGTTGGACGCGCCCCACGCTGGCCCCTAGAGCTCAGCCCGCACTGTGGCCTCCATCCTGGGCATGGGCTGGTGGTTGTAGCCTGCGGCTCTGTCCACCCTCTGTGCGCCTTTGTCCTCTGAGTTTGCCACTGTGTCTCCCTCCTGGTTTTGTGCCTTCTCTGTGCTTCCTGGTTGTCTCTGTAGCCCTCATCCAGGTGTCGGGCTCAGCAAGGCTGGGCAGGGTGCAGGATGGGCACACCTGTGGCCTCTGGGCTTCCCCATCATCTGTCCGTCATCTGTCCAAGGTAGGATTGTGCCTGGACCAGCTTCTTCTGTGTCCTCCCACCATGCTGGCTAACTGTGTGGGGTCTGGTCCAAGTGCTGCACCTGGGCTCTATCCCCAAGGCTACACCCTAGTTCTGCGGGGTTTGTGGCCCTGTCTCGGAGGAGATGTGGTGCAGTCCCTGTTGGCTCAGTTCCTGTCTCTGAGCTTACTGTGGCCCCTCCACTCCTCTGTAGAAGAAGCAAGAGCAGAAGGCTCCAGACAAGGAGGCCATACTCCGGGCGACAGCCAGCCTGCCAGCCTGCAGCGTGGACCGGGCAGCGGTGCAGACCACCATGAGAGACGTGAGTGTCGCCCCACACATGCGAGGGAGGGGGGCTGGGTGGGAGCATATCTGTCGGCCACAGGAGCCTCTCCAAGGTGCTCAGGAAGTGGGTGCCACTGCTACTCCACAGGCTGAGGTAGGAAGATCACCTGAGCCCAAAGCTTTGAGGCCAGCCTGGGCAGTATAGGGAGACCACGTCTCAAAAAAAAAGCAGAAACCCCAAATCAAAAAAAGTGCTCAGGGAAAGTGAGGCAGAGTGTTTAAGAACTCTGCTGCATTTGCAGTGATGCCGTAAATCTAAGGTTATTTTAAAACAAGAAGCTCAGAAGACACCTGGAGGCAGAGCAGGGAGCGTAAGCTGCCTCTGGGTGCACCCAAGGGCTTCGCCTGAGCTGGGAGGTCTGAGTGCTCCTCACCTGGAGAAGGCCTTAGGCGGAGAGGCAGAGGCGCTGGCAGGGCCCATGGGAACCCTGTGGCTGCCTTCGGTTTTACCTGGCCCTCTGTGAGCCCTGGGTTGCCCTAGAAAGGTACCCTTTTTAGGATGTCCTTCAGGGTCCCATGTGGACTAGGGCAGTGTTTACCCATGCCAGCTTTCTGTCCATGCTCCTGCTGCTTTGGGGTGGCCAGTGGGGCTTCTAGCTGCGCAGCCCTGGGCACTGGCCAGGTGCTTTCCTCATCCGTCCCAGGCGAGGCAGCAGCCTGGCTCTCAGCAGCCACGTACATGTGGGTCTGTTGCCACGCACACAGTGCCCCTTCCTGTGCCACGATGTCTCCTAGGGTCTAGCTGGGCTCCACTCTGGCCTCTGCCCAGCCACCGGAAGGGGGCAGTGCCATGTGGAGTTGTGTGTTTGGGGCACTAGCACAAGGTGGGGGTGCAGGTCAAGTTGGTTTGCTCAGTACTCAGAGAAAGTCTCTGCTGCTTCCCACTACAGTTCCAAACTGAGCTCCGGAAAATCTTGGTGTCTCTCATCGAGGTGGCGCAGAAGTTGCTGGCCCTGAACCCCGATGCAGTCGAGCTGTTTAAAAAGGCAAATGGTACGGGCAGAGCCCAGAGGGCCCAAGGGAGCTTGCACGTGTGTGTATGTGTGTACTTGCACACTCACAGTGCACACACATACACATGTGCATACACATGTGTGCACACACTCACACACGCACATGCACACATAAAAACTCTTTTGCACATGCTGTTTCTCTGTGGACTTGGAGCCTATGCCCGCAGCCCTTCTGGGAGCTGGCATGGTCACGGTCACGTACTGCCCAGCTCTGCCTCCCGCGGGGCCGCACATGCACGTGGGCAGATGCTGGAGCCGGCCGACCTGCAGTTCAGGTCTGCCAGGTGTGTGCGGGGCAGAGACGGGCTGCCGTGCAGAGTCAGGGAGGGCTCCTCACACCGTCTCTGTCACCTGCAGCTATGCTGGATGAGGATGAGGATGACCGCGTGGATGAGGCCGCCCTGCGGCAGCTCACGGAGATGGGCTTTCCTGAGAGCCGGGCATGCAAGGCCCTTCGGCTGAACCAGTACGTAGGGGTTTCCCTCCACTCTCGGACCTGGAGCTGGGTCGTGTTCTGCCCTCCCGACTCTGGTCCAGTCATCTCCGGACGTGTGTGTCCATAGGCTCCTCACGGATTTGCACAGGGGTGGTTAGTTTATCATATCTGAATGGGGCTTCTTCTTGTTTTGCCTTTTGAGGTAGATCTGGGTATTGTCCAGACCGGTCTCAAACTCCTGGCCATGTGAGCCTCCTGCTCAGCCTCCCGAGCAGCTGTGACTGCAGGGGCACTGAGTGTTTGAAGCCCTGGCCTGTGCAGGGCTGTGTGCTGGCAAGTCTGTCTGCCATGCTTTTGCCTGTGGCTGGACCTTGATGGTCAGAGCTGGCCGCACAGGGACCAGGATGCTCGGGGCCTTCTGAGCTAGTGTCACAGATGCTCAGACTCTAGGACAGCAGATGTCGAGGGTCCAGGTCCTTCCTGCTCTAGACTTGTCACAGTCTGGGGATTGAACCCAGACCTCCTCCTGTACCCTGGCAAGTGAGCACCTACCCCTGAGCTGCACTGGCCGCCTGCCCCCTTGCACTGGGGACCCCGCGTGTAGAGCGGGATCTGCAGAGGCCACATCCATGGAGACCCGTCTACGAGATGGCCTGTCCTTGCCAGCCCATCAGCAGGTGGGAGGGCCCTGGCGCTGCTCAGGAGAGCTGGGAAGAGTCTGTTGTCCCCTTCCAGCATGTCAGTGCCGCAGGCCATGGAGTGGCTGATCGAGCACGCAGAAGACCCGGCCATTGACACGCCTCTTCCAGGACAGGCTGCACAGGCTGTGGCTGGTGCTGCGGCTGCCGCTGCTGAGGTCACGGTGGACACTGCTGAGGGAGATGAAGAGCGGGATGAGCTCACGGAGATCTTCAAGAGGATCCGCAGGAAAAGGGAGTTCCGCGCTGACTCGAGGGTACGTGTGCTGCTGGTGTCAGGGGACTGGGCCAGGTGGACCTCATTTCCTGTTCAGACTGCGTTATGCTCCTGAGGGTCTAGCAGGGGTCTTGTTTCCTGAGTTGTCTCCTGAGAAGACGGCGGACAGTGCTGCTGCTGCTGCTGCTGCTGCAGCCTTAGGGCGAGGGTGAGCAGCGAGTGGGCACAGGACGGGGAAAGCAGGAGCAGCTGGGCACCAGGGACCTGGCCGATACCTGGGACCCTGTGGTGCCTGTTGACGCCCTTCCTCGTGGCCTTCTCCGCTTGATCTGCTTTCTTGGGCCTGGATTTGGGTTTGATTCCCTCTGACTTTGGCTCCTTTTGGATCACAGCTCATTTGCGTCTGCCTCAGGTGCGGTGTGAAGTTTGTCAGGGCTCCCCTTGGGGAGCCCACGAGGCCAGGCTGCAGGGATCCAGGCAGGAGGCTTCCAAGTGTGCTCCTGCAGGGCTGAGCCCAATGCCCTGCGGGGGCTGGCATTCATCTTGCCTGTCTTTGGGGTTGGGGAACCAGCAGCATCAGTTGCGGTCTGGGTTCTGCCTTCTGCTCATCATATCCCGGCCGTGCCAGGGTCTTAGCGCCCAGTGTTGCTGCACATGCGCCTTGGCCTGTCCACTTCTAGCGCTCTATGGACCCTGCCGCTGCCCTGGCCCTCCTCAGGGCACTCTCTGTCACTTGAGAGTTTCCCATCTTGTTCTTCTTTGTGTCTTGCACTGAAAAGCCTTTCCACATAGTGGGGCTCTTGGTGTCCTGCCTGTAGGCAGGCTGGGGCTCTCCCGGGGCCTGGCCCTGCCTGGTCCTTGTGGGTTTGCTTGGCGGTCAGCTCCTATGCTTATCGTTGCCAGCTCCACCACCCATTCTCTTGAGAAATGCCCTCCCTGTGTTGGCCAGGCTGGCCTCGGTCCTCCCGCCTCAGCCTCTCAAGCAGCTGAGATTACATGGTTTACCACTGTGTGTTATTAAAAAAGAGGTTTTCATCTTAATTTTAAGTGTGTTTCCTTTCCTAAGATACCTTCCCACTACCGTTCCCTTCCCCACCTGTTTTAGAAGAGTCCATAGAATGTCCTCTCCTGTTATCAGGACTTGAGAGCCAGTGAGGGCCACTTGCCCTCTGATTTCTATACCAGTCCTGAGACTGGGCAGCAGGCCAGCAGCCACCAAGGTCCTAGCTTGGCCACTGTAGGAGAACAGTGCCAGACTTTCCTCTGCCACTGGATGAGGTCCTTCCTGTCACTGTGGCAGGGGCATGTACCGGTGTGTGGACTGGAAGTCCTGGGGCCTCATTTCTTAGATGACACGGGAAGAGCCATCCTGTCCTGGGTCGGTGGCCTCCAGGTTCTCTGGAGGCCTTTCTTTGGCAGTACTGAGGCTCCCACCCCACCCAGGGCCTCACATGTGCTCAGCAGGAGCCCTCGAGATGCCGCTGCTAGGGTGTGGGACTTCATCCTGCCCTGGTGCACCCCGGGACATGGGCAGCTTCCTGGGAGCACAGACAGAATAAACCTTAGCCGGGCTCCTTGCCTATTCCTTCCCCTATCGCAATCCTCTGTTGGGTCTGCTGAGACCTGCAAGCGTCTGTGAGTGACCTGCATGGTGTGCAGGTGTCATGGTGTCACTGGGAGGCTTGAGTGGGGAGGAAAGCAGGCCATGGGCTTTGGCCTGCAGCATCAGGAGACCACCATGGGGAGCTGAGGCGGCCTGCAGTTCCTTGCGAGGGTGAGCACTCAGAACAGTGCGTTATATGAAGTGGAGACATCTTAGGAGATGGCTTTGCCTGAAATGGTGTCCTATTCCGGGAAGAGCTGAAGGTCATGTTCACCCAGCTAGTTAGCGTGTGTTTACGCACAGAGCCTAAGTGTTGAATGAATGTTGCATAGTAAAGCTAGCGTTAGTTTTTTAAGGTAAAAGGTGGAATAAAAGCGTCTTTCCTGACAGTGACGGTTTGTTCCCATGTTACTGGGTGTGTGCACCTGACCTACGCTGCTTTGTGGACGCGGGTGCTGGTGGGTACAGTGGATGCACTTGCTCATCCCCACTCAGCTCCTGCTTGCTGTGGGGCTGCGGGCTGTGGCACCCAGGGCGGCTCTAGGGAAGCCGCAGAGAGGCTCAGAGGTAGAAGGGACAGTCAGCAGCCGGCAGTGCGTCATGCATGAGGCAGGGCTGGCACATTCTGTGTGTGGCGCTCACCGGCTGTGCGCTTCTGGCCAGGCTGTCATTTCCCTGATGGAGATGGGCTTCGATGAGAAGGAGGTGATCGACGCCCTCAGAGTGAACAACAACCAGCAGAACGCTGCTGTAAGTACCTGGGGGCCAGCCTATGCCCCGCTCTGTGTCACATAGTCTTGGGGTGTTGGGATGTGTTGGCGTTTTGTGCCCCAACACTGCTCTGGACTTCAGGGTGGAAGACTTGGGTGGCACACAGCTTTGAAGACCTCAGTTGGGCAGGGTGGGGTGTGCCTGTAATCCGAGCACTTTGGGAGGCCAGGACAGGAAGATGCCACATTCGAGCCCAGTCAGGACAATTTATACCCTATTTAAAATAAAAAAGAAAGAGATGGGGATATAGCTCAGTGCACAGGCCGTGGGTCCAGTCCCCAGTACCTCTCGCCACCCCACTGAAAATTCTGAGAATTCTGGGCCTTGCCTGTCTGAGGCGGTGTGTGCCCATCCTGGGGTGTGCGATTGTTGGCACATGTTCTCACCCATGCTCTGAGCTGAGTCCGTGGTGTGCACAGGCCAGCTGCTGGTAGGGCCCTAGTGCAGGCGCGGGTGGGCTGGAGCCCCCCACTGTGAGCAGGGTTGAGGTCTAGGCATCAAGTTGCACGTCCAGTCCTGGGTGTGTTGGCCATGGAGAGACACAGTCACAGGAGGCTTTTCTAGAATGGAGCTGGCTGATACCTCATTCCGAGGCTGTAGTGGTCAGGTTCAGCAGTAGTGCCAGGTCTGCTAAGGCTGCCAGGCCAGTTCTCTCTTTTCTCTCAGCCTAATTGGACACACATGGTACTGGAGGGGACCCAGCCTGTTGTGTTGGGGTCCCTTCTGCTCAGAGCAGTGCTTGGGCCTGCCAGGAACTGCAGGACAGGACAGGGACAGGTGCAGGGCTTGTGCTGATGGTGTTACCAGAAGGAGCTAACCTCTCCAATGTTCTCGGGTTTCAGTGTGAGTGGCTGCTGGGAGACCGGAAGCCGTCCCCCGAGGAGCTGGACCAGGGCATCGATCCAAACAGCCCTCTCTTTCAGGCCATCCTGGACAACCCCGTTGTGCAGCTGGGTCTGACCAACCCTAAGACTCTGCTGGGTACGTGAGCCTTCAAGATGTCATCTTGGGTGGGCACAGGTGCTGCTGAGGTGGTGCTGGGCCCAGTGGCCTCCTGCAGGCACTTGTGTGCAAGCCCAGTCCAGCTCAGAGTGGACAGGCTCCACTGGATCAGGCAAGCTGGGCCCTCACATAAGAAGCACAGGTCAGGGAGAAGATTGTGTGGCTGTGGCTTATTTGTGCAGCACTTCTCTAGTAATTGTGTATTTTTATTGTTACATATGTGGGTAAAAATGCATAGTGTCTATAACTTTAATAAGGTGAATAACTGTTCGTGAGCCACTCAGCTTAACAGATAGTGTGGCCACCTCAGTGTCCCTGATGATGGGCTCCAGGGCTCTACGTCAGGGTCCCCAGCTGCTCAGCGTGTGGGATGGCAGGGTGTCAGCAGGTGCTTGGCACAGGTCCTCTCTTGTCATCTCTGAGTGCTTGAAATGCCTGGGATAGGGTAGTGCTGTGTAAATTGTTGCCTGTTTTATTCAGGAAACAGTAACAAAGAAAGAAAGAAAGGGACTCTGCATGTTTCCCAGGTGTGTAGTTGTCTTCCTGCACAGTTCTGTTCTCTTTGATTAGACATAGTGGTCCTGCCAAGCTCCTGTGCACCCTGAGCCCCCTGCCTTCCCTTTCCTGGGTGGCTGCTATCCCTAGGCTTGCCCTCTCTTTGCTGTCCAGTCTGCCCCACCCCCTGCCCTGCAATAATGAAGTCACCCTCTGGGGGCCTGTGCACTCCATGCTGCTGCTCTGCCCAATGATCATGCCCCAGTGCATTGCGTTCTGCTGCCCTGTGGCACTTGGACTGTCCTTGCATGTGGTGCTGCTCTGGCATCCCTGTCCCTCTGTGCCTGTGGTGCTACTGCTTTCCCAGGGCTGCACTTGAAGCACTTCTCCTGATATGGGTGGACATCAGGAGGGCACAGTGCCTGGCAGGCATGGACAGGTGGTGACGCAGTGCCTGCCCTATCAGCAGTCCCAGGCAGGCTCCTGTCAGAGGCAGGACCACGCTGTGACCAAAGGTCCGCTTTTGGCCTCTTCTGTAGGGTGTTTTTTCTTTCTTTCATTTATTCTTTTTCTTTTTGAGACAGGGTCTCGCTATGCAATTCAGGAGTTCAGGCTGGCCTTGAGCTCACTTTGTAACCCATGCTGGTCTCAAACTTGCAACACTTCTCCTGCCTCAGCAAAATTGTCTTTCTTTCTGGTTTTTTGTTTGTTTGTTTTTTGTTTTTCGTTTTTGAGACAGGGTTTTGCTATGTAGTTCAGGCTGGTCCTGAACTCACTGTGGAGCTCGGGGTGGCCTTTAACCTCCTGAGTGCTGGGATTACAGGTGTGTGCCACCTTACTTGGCTTTTCTTCTCATTCGTTCAGAAAGTTCTTGTATTGGACAAGAGGGACTTTTCACCAGTTACTTGTGTTAGAAACGCTATTGTTTGGTTTCTGGCATCTTCCTGGCTTGTTGGTGGACAGGAGTTCTGTGTTTTGATGAACCTGAATGTGTCTGTGTTGCTTTCATGTTATGAACCTGTGGCAGAGGGGCATCGTGGAGGAGGAGAAACAGTTCATCTCAGGCAGAAGGCAGCAAAGAGGAAGGCAGCAGGCAGTGATAGAAGCAGTCTTTTGTGTTCCTTACATTTTATCTTTGTTACCTGCCCTTAGGGTTGGTAGCACTCACACCCAGCATGAGACACTGTTAATCCTAGCATTGTACCACAAACCAGTCTTAGCATCATATACCTAACCCTGACGTCACATACTCTAGATCCATCCGACTCTGAAAAGCCCCACATTTGGCTTCATGAGGCTTTGGGGGGTCACCTCGATACAAGTAATAACAATTTGTCCCTGGCCCATCGAAGAGTCATGCCATCCCTTTATACAAAGGCATTTAGTCCCTCTCTGAAGAGCTGCCAAAGTCCTAACAGTTTCAGCAGTGCTGTAGAGTCCAAGTCTAAAGTCTCCTCTGAGATTTAAGGCAAACTCTTTAGCAGTAAGCCCCTAAACAAATGAAAGTCAAACACTCAACATACAGTAGCACCGGATATACAATACCATTTTAAAAGGTACAAATAAGATAGGAACAAGACCAAAGCAAGTCCCAAATCCAGCAGGGCAAGCATTAGGTTCTGTAGTTCCATGTGTAACATCCAAGCAATCTGTGGCAAGATGTGACCTCCAGGGGGTTTGGTGGCTCTACCTCTGTGGCACTGCTGGTGATTTTGGCTCCCATGACTTCTCTCCACGACTGCACTGTGCTCTCCTTGCAGTTTTCCTCAGAGGGCCTACGTGCCTGGCTGCTTCAACCTTCTGAGGGTCTCCATTGTATCTTAGGCTTCACCAACTGTCCTCTCAGGAGCACACTGCATGGCCTCCCAGGTCGTCTTCTGAAATCCGAGTGGAAGCGTTCCTGATCTTACAACTCTTGGGTTCCTCATGCTCCTAAAACCAGCACCATGTGGACGATGCCAAGTTCTGCCACCAGCTGGAGCAGTCGCCAGGCTTTCTTCTCTCTTGGCTGTAGGGTAGGATTGTTGGATCACTGAGCACTCTGAACCTAATCTTGAGGAACAAATTCTTTAGGCCGCTGCCATTCTGGAATGTGGTGCGCTGAGACTTTCTGCTCAAAGCAAATTCTTACATTTTTGCCATTTTGAGGCTGCAAAGGGTGGAGTCCTGCTGCTTCTTGTGATGTCCTCAGACCACCTTTTCCATTGTCTTATTCCTTTTTTTTTTTGTCTTTTTGAAAGGGTCTTGATATGCAATTCAGGCTGCTCTTGAGCTCATTTTGTAGCCCAGGCTGGTCTCGAACTTGAAATGATCCTCGTGCCTCAGCTTCCCAGGTGCTGGGGAGTACAGGCATGAACCACCACACCTGGCTGTATTGTCCTATTCCTTCTCAGAAATCAAAATCTCTTCTGCTCTGTCTTTGCAGTCTGTTGCTTTACTAAAGCTTTCTTTATGGCCACACTCGGTGCTTTAAATCATTCTGCTGGGCTCTTTATTCTTATTCTTAACATAGATCTGGCTAAAAGCACCTAAGAGTAGCTGTTACTACTGCCTTAAATTAAACTGGCCTGAGATTTCTTCCACAAGATTAATCAGTCTTCGTCCTTAGTCTCAGTCACAGGCAAAGTCTCTGGATAAGCACAGAACACAGACAAACTTTCTGCTAAGGTATAACACACAGTGTCAAGTCCAACAGCAGGTGCAGTCCTTCTTCCCAGAAGGAACCTGCCCAGCCTGGTCTTTCGAGCAGCTTTTCTGTTAGCCTTCTGGTTTTCTGGGCTCTGATCAGAATCTCTCAACAAGTACAGTCTAAGGCATTGCAGTGCTGTGGTGCCTTTCCAAACTCTTCCAAACAAGCTGGTTCTGAAGATGGTTGAACCATAGATCAGGTACAATCACAGCAGTAACCCCACTCCTGGTACCAAAGTCTGTCTTGGTTTTCTGTACCTGCCCCAGAGGCCTTCCTATTGAGCGGTTCTCTCTCCACATTTCCCACTGGAATTGCTCTTGGTGAGTCAGTTTGTTGCAGACACATCTGGTGGTAAAGGCCAGCTCTTCTTTCTCTCCAGTTCAGGTGCTGAGTCTGTGGTTCTGTGTCCATGTGGCTGGCTCATGCCACCCCTCCTCCCTCTGCAAGGCAGACCGCCCAGGGCATACACCTGTTTGTCCCCAGCAGGGTCGTGGTCAGTGGAGTTGAATTTCAGTCTTGGGGCGCTGCATTGAGGCAGGGCATCTTGGGGTGAAGTGTCTGCTGTTGGCAGAACACGGTGTGGCTGGTGGGTGGATGAGCATGTGCACTTTGCTGCCAAGCTCCACGTGGCAGTGCCTTCCTGCCAGACTCCTTACCAGGCTCCTCCATGCACTGTGGGCCACATGCTTATGCAAGGATGAGCCTGCCGCCTTCGGGAAGCGAAAGCTCCTGACGAGAGTCTTGAATGGGACTGTTCTGTTGAGAAGACTTAGGACGTTCATTATAGAAAGCTGAGGGGTGAAGAGCGGGGGAAGATGCCAGTCACGCGTACCTCACGGTCCCGCCAGGTGCTCCTCCTTGTGCCATCTCCATGTACTGTAGCGCCTGCTGTCCCTGCTCTGCTGGCGGAAATGGGCTTGCTGGCCATGGCAGCTATTTGGTGAATGTGGCCTGGGTGGTTTCCCTTTCCTGGCCATTAAATGGCTGCTGTAGTGACCCTTTCTTGTCCTGGTCCTTTGGCGCAGCTTGAGTCTTCTGGGGACAGGCAGCTGGACACCAGGCCACCACATCAGACTGTGGAGTCTCCCAGCTACTACCTTGCTAGTGTGCTTCCTGCTTTGCCTTTGGCCGTGGCCCTGCCCCACTGTGCAGGGGACAGATCCAGATTGCTCTGTTTGTGCCCCTTTTCCTCATTAGTAACATTTCTGATGTTAGCCGCATGTGTCTCCTCTCTCATGTGGGCTGTTTTTCATTTGCTGTACTCAGAGTTTTGTGAGTAGCTTGTTGCATGTTAACACCACCCTCTGTGACACATTGCCAACCTTTCATGTGTACTTCAATGTCATGGTGTGTTTGAAACATGGAAGCTGGGAGAATGCAGGAGATAAAGTGCAACTATAATTACACTGTTGGGAGGCTGAAGCAGGAGGATCACAAAGTTCATGGCCAACCTGTGTGGGTTAGGGAGACGTCTAAAATAAAATGAGAAAAGGCTACCGATGAAGCTGAGTAGAAGTGTCCTGGCCTCACACACTCAGGGCCTGGACTCGATCCCTGACTTTGACAAAAATGAACAGACAGAAGCCTTTCCTTGGATAAGTAATCTTCTGCGCACTTTTTCATACTTGTCTTCTTTTCTGTGATTCTGCCTGTCTCTTTCGTGTCCTCTGGAATGTGTTTTTCCATCTGTTGGGAGGCAGTGGGGCGTCGGGCTCCCCGCCTATGTCCCAGCCACCTTCTCACAGGTACAGCGTGGCTTTCTGGGCTTGCTTTCTGAGAGTGTAAACTGGTTTTCCAAGGAGTTTGTCAGAAAAGCACTAGACGACTTTTTTTTGAGGCAGGGTTTCCCTATACAGTTCAGGTCGGCCTTGAGCTCACTTTGTAGCCCAGGCTGGTCTCGAATTTGCAATGATCCTCTTGCCTCAGCCTCCCGAGTGCTGAGATTAAAGGCATGCATCACCATGCCTGGCTCACCAGGAGACTTTGTAGGGGCTGGGAGGGTTTTCCCACTATGCCCAGAACAAACCTGTTCCCTCTGGCTCTGGCCCGTTGGGCTTCTGCCTTGCGCCTGGGTGGCTCAGGTCCCTGCTGTGCAGGTTGACCCCCTGACCTGGGATCCAGACAGATCCTCAATCACAGCTGTGGTCTTGGAGCATTTGGGACGCCGTGCTGGAGCCCACGTGGCCCCAAACACCATGCCGGTGTGGGGAGGGAGCCCTGGATGAGGGGCCATCTACTCTAGGGTGGCCCAGCCACTGAGATGGCTGGGTGCAGCGCAAACCACTCACCAGCTAGGATCTGCTCCTTCAGGGCAGCTGCTCCTGGGGCTTTTGCCAGCAAGCCCTATGGGTTTCTTAAGTGCCTCCACGTTTTTATTTTTGTGTGTTTTTCTAGGGCGTTGGGATGGAGCCTAAGGGCTCTGCCCCAGCCGACCCCAGCCTGTCCGTCACATATTCAGTGGTGATTGCTAAGCCTTGTTTTCCCAAGGATGAGTCTGATTTTGCAGCACGGGGGTAGGGGCTGCGACAGCACCTGTGTGTATGGGTCTTTTCTGTGTCCAGTTGGTTCTCGGGGTGAGGGTAGAAGCCGGGCTGTAGGTTGAGGCAAGTTTTGAGACCTCCTCTTGCCACCAGGTGACTTTCTGAGCCCATGCTGTGGGCACAGACGGACCTGGCCCACAGGACAGGCATCTTGCATTTCAGAACAGCTCTGTGGTCTGTGGGGTTGGCTTGGCCTGTGGGTTCAGGCTGAGTCCCCCCTGGCCTGAGGTCCAGTCCTCTTGTGCCCTGGGGTTGACTCCGTCGTGCTGAGAGGACATTGGGGCACCGGCTCTGCCTGCTGTCTCCACAGCCTTCGAAGACATGCTGGAAAACCCGCTGAACAGCACACAGTGGATGAATGACCCCGAGACAGGCCCAGTCATGCTGCAGATCTCCCGCATCTTCCAGACGCTGAACCGTGCGTAGGCAGCCCCGGCCTGCTCGGCTGTCCCGCTACGGCCTCGGGGCGGGGGCACAGGCGCCCTTGTCCAAAGCTGTCTCCAGCTCATGGGCCTAGGTCACCAGCGCTGCGCTGCTGTCCCTCCCTGCCTTACTGCTCAGAAACTCATGGACAGTAAGGCCACGCTCCCAGCTTCCCACAGCCTTCCTGGAGGGGCTGTGTTGCTGGGTGGTGGCCGGCGTCCCCAGGTGCACCACTGGGCTGTGGATGTGCTGCTAGGAGCGCCCGCTGCTGTGTGGAGCCTGCTTGTTCCTGATGGAAGTGTTGCGCCTGGCGTGCTGCCGTGGCCAGCGAGTCGGGTGGCTTGTGTAATAAACCAGCCCTTTCCTACCTCTGTCCCTGTGCTCCTTCAGTGCCCCGAGACACCACCCGCCTCCCGAATTGGATCTCCCCAGCACAGTGTCTCTGCAGCCTCCAGCCTTGTTGGCAGATGGAGTTGGGACTCGGGGGTGGTGACAATGGAGCGCACCACGCCTCCGCACACAGGGCACAGGCGGTAGCCTGGGCTCCATAGCCGCCCGGCCTTGAGCTCTGTCCTTGTGTCCCTCTGCCTTATCTCCTTGGGTGTTGTCAGCATTTGCAGATGAGAAGGGGGTTTCTTTGTGTGTGCCCCACACCTCGGCACCCCACTGGGCTGTGTTCCTAGTCCTTGTGCAGAGGTACTGTGCTCTCTGGGGCCTCGGCTGAGCCATCCTATCCCGACTGGTCACCTGCCCTCAGAAGACGGTGCTGCCCCTGATCTGATACCATCACACTCACTCTGCACCTCGGACCCTGAGGAGGCTTGGATAAGGGCTGAGATCACCAGAGCTGCCAGCTGCACGCTGGTCCTGGGGCCCTGTGCTCCTGCACTGGGCAACTGCACCTAGGAGGAGTCCATGGACTTGGGAGATGGAGTCTTCGAAGAGTGGATGCCTTGCCTGTGGGCTGGTCCCGAAGGGTGGGTTTCACCTACTGATGTGGCTGGGACGGGGCTGTGGGGCTGCCCCCCCAAGCGTGGACCTGTGGCCTCTGGGCTCCCATGACGGCCGGTGCACCGCATGCAGGGAGGACTCCCACTGCCCTTTTGTGCTGTTCCCCTCCTGGCCTGGCCGCTGGGACACTTGGGTCAGTCACGGTTACTGGATACGGGCAGTGGCCTGCAAGGAACCTCTCCTGGGGTTCAGTCTGTGCCTGCAGGTAGGGATGTGTGGTCCCTAGGCAGTGACCAAATGACTGGCAGACCTGAGAGCTGAGTGCTGGGTGGCCTGAAGCTGGGTGTGGCATGCAGTGCTCAGTCGGTGTAGCTGCCATGGTGACCTGGCCCAAGCCGGCATTGAGCAGCTACACTCACATTGCCCTGGCTGTGATGGCCACTGGGTCTAGGGGTACTAGGCCTGGGTCCCTCCAGCAGGTGCTGTGCCGTGGGCTTGGTTCTGCCTTGCCCTGTTCTTTCTCCGGGGATGGAGGCTGGGTGCCCCTCATGACTCCGGGGGAAGAGACTTGCCAGGGCCCCATCTCAGCTGCGGGTGTGAGGGGTTCTTGGCATACAACCTTTTGCAGCGGGTGCCTCTGCTGTGTCCCTTGTGACAGGGCAGGTTGGCCTTGGTTACACTGTGAACACTGTATGGAGCAGCCTGGTGTGTGTGTGTGGGGGGGGGGGGAGGCGGGGCAGGACCGGGAGCATAGGGGCACCAGCCTCGGGCCCCTGAGGAGTGGGACAGGGTGGTGTGGTCCTGGGCCCTCAGGAGGTTGGCTTCAGCCCAGAATTGCTGTAGAGTCTCCACTCGGTGCCTATAAATGCTTTTATGCCCAGAGGGTTTCCTTATAAATTGCTAATTCCCCTCTAGTGACACGCTTCTGACAACATACTTCCAGGGGTATCAGGCACAGCCAGGAACAGTGGCACATGCCTATAATCCTTGCACTTAGGGAGGCTGAGGCAGGAGCATCGCCAGTTTGAGTCCTGCCTTAGCAGCTTAGCAAGACCTTGTTTTAAGGCAAAAAGTCAAAGGGTCAGGGTACAGCTCAGTGTTACAGTGCCTTGGTTCATTCAGGCAGGCATGTAGTTTGGCTTCTGTAAGTTCAGGTGCAGCAGAAGTGGCACGGACAAGTGTGTTGTGATTGGAAGGGAAAGAGCTGGGGTACAGGAGGCTACGCCCTCATAGGACCCCACCCTGCCTCTGGGGTGTCAGGAACCAGCTGTGTAGCATCTTCCAGTAGGAATGGGCCGCTGGCCACCAGGACCCGCATGCCAGGCCTGCGCCCTCAGGCAGGAGAGGGAGGAGGAGGAACAGGAGGCAGAGGCTTCCTGGTCCTGGAGTGTTGCTGAAGGCCAGGCCTGGGCTGGGCAGCTGGGGGCATAGAGCCAACCTCCCGTACCTGTGCCCCTCCTGCGAGGCCGCACCATGGTCAGGAGAATGTGCTGGGCTTGCTATGTGGGGCACTCAGCCTCGTGTCCTCTCCCAGCACTTGCTGGTCACCTGTGGGCTGCAGGGCCCAGCCTGTGGGTGGAGCCAGACTGGACAAGCAGAAGCCCCTGGGGGAAGAGCTGGACAGTGGGACCTTTTCCAAGGCTCCCTGTGACTGTTAGGTGGGTGTGGACCCCAGGGACGTGGGGCCCGCAGAGGGTGAAGGCCAGGTTCTGGGCCCTGCTCCAGGCTGTGCTCTGCCCCAGCCTGCCAGTGGGTCATGCAGGAAGGATGCGGGGAGGGAAGTCCTGATGCTGCCATCCACTGTTGCCTCACCTGTTAGGTGGTGTCCTGACCTCAGAAAGGACATATCTTGGACTTAAGTCCTCCTCTCCCTGGACCTGGGCAGCACAACCTCCGTGCCTCAGTGTGAACCTAGCATGGCAGTACAGGGCTGGGCCTTGGCAGCTTGGTGCCCTGCTTGGTGTTCGGATGCCAAGGTGGTGGTGTCTCTGTGAGCTTCCCTGTAAGCTGGGTACAGAGTGGAGTGGGGAAGGGCACGTGAGCGGGGAGGACCCCTGCCTATGCTGAGAGGCAGAGTCCAAGTGGGGTGTGGGCCCATGTACCCCAGGGGAGACATGGACACTGCTTGAGACTGTGGGCCTGGACCAGGACAGTGACCTAGAGGACAGGCCTGTGCCTCCTGCCCGCGGTCAGCAGCTCCGTGGCTGCCTGCTGTGCTCCGAGAACAGCTGTCAGGCCTGTACATGGCCCAGCAAGCAGGGGACACAGCCTGAGTGGATAGGCCGTGTCCCTGCTCATGGCCCGTCTGCACCTGGAGGCTGCGTGGTCTGGGCAGGAAGGAATCTTGACAGTGGCTGCCACGTGGGGGACCTTGGAGACGTATCATGGAGAAAAGTACTGTGCAATTCCACTTCTCCGAGGTCTCCAGAGTCAAATCATCAGGTGTGGACCGGGGCCCCAGGTGGGGGGGCACATGGTACTCAGGGTTGAGGGCAAGGTGAGTTCTGGAGACGGGCGCATGACTGGCACACAGTGGAGTGGATGTGGTTAAGGTTGGAAGCTGGGCACAGTGCCACATACCCGGGACCCCAGCACTGGGAGGCTGAGGCAGGTGGATTATAAGTTTGTGCCCAGCAGGGGGAACTCAGAAATGTAGCAAGACCCTGTGTCAGACTAAAAAGTGATTAAGGGACTGGGGATTTAGCTCAGTTCGAAGGTCCTGGGTTCAATCCTCAGTAACACCAAAGAGAAACCAAAGTCCGAGCCCTCCTCCTGGGCCTGGTTCTGTCCCACTTGCCAGCTGCTGTAGCAGCTCGGCCTCAGCCATACCCCTGTGAGGCTGGCCTGGGTCTTCCTGCTGGTCCCTGGATGGAGCGGCTGTGGCCCCTGCATGGACTCAGCTCGTCCTGTCCCTGCATGCAGCCCATCTGCTTGCTTCGGGAGCAGCAGTGCATGTGGGATTGGCGGTCTGCAGGCTCTTCCTGTGCAGCCGGCCCCTCGGGAACCAGGCACTGTGCCATCCTCTGTGCCCTGGGCATGGATACAGGCTTGGCTCAGTCTGCAGAATGCATCTCTGGAGCATTTGTCTGTAGCATTCCTGAGATCCCAGGTCACCTCATCCAAGGGGAGCTGGGTGCCTCTGTCCCCAGAAGTGCTGGCACCAGAACACAGTGACCTGCCACCTGCCACCACCTACATCCACACCAACTTGTCCCCACCTGCATGAGGCAGGACCCAGGCTGGGTCATGGGGTGGGCTGCACGTTCCACAGGACGTGGCAGCAGCCCACTCGGGTGTGGGTGGTGACGCTCCAGCTACACGGGGCTGAGCAGGCAGGCGATGGCTGTGGAGGCAGAGCCGGACACAGAGGCCAAGGCCACAGTCAGTGCAGTGGGTCCTTGGTGCATGGCCACTTGGGCAGTGACCCCAGCATTGAGGAGGAGCACTGACCAGCAGCTGTGGAGAGGAGAGAGGAAGGCGAGGTCCCTGGGGCTGGTCCTGCAGCAGGGATAGTGCTGACTGTTCAGTACCTGGCCCTGCCCGACCAAACCTGTGTGTTTCATCTGGGGGAACTCAGGTTTACATCAGCACTCGTTCCTTGGTGGGAGACTTCAGAACTCCGTCTTGTGTGTTCAGGACCTCAAGGTGCTGGGGTCCGGGGCTGGTGGCCTGTCTGCCACAGAGTCCCCTCCAGTGCCACCTCAGGGCAGGCCTTGTGCAGCCAGGTTTGGTTGGCTCCATTTCACATTTTAAGCTTGTATTGAGGAAATGATTTCCTTATTTTTTAGGGGTATTAAAAGATATTTTTAAATTTCGAAGTAAAACTTATGTATAGGAAATAACACTCAGCCAGTCAAGTGGCTTTTTCCGTGTGCACAGCTGTGCCTGTTTCCTTTTCTATCTGGGAAATGGTACTCTTTAAAAAAAAAAGAAGAAGAAGAAATGGTATTCCTCAAGTTTTGTCTGAATTATTATCCCTCAGGCTGAACCGGTGCCATGGATGGGGAGGAGCCCTGGTTGGCTGACCCTTGGATCTCCAATGTCACAATAAACCAGTATGAACTGGGCTTGGTGGTCCTGATGCTGAGTTAGCTTTACCTGCAGGATCTGTTTATGTGCTAGCAGAGAAAGTGCCCTCACTCCAGCAGCCATACCTAGTGCAGGCCTCGGGCACCGAAGTTCTGGACACTGACCCATGCCCCTGGAGGCCCCGGCTGCACCCAGCATCTCCCTTCTGTTTTTCTGCGGGTTTTGTGGTTGCATTACCGGGATGGAACCCAAGGTGTCCTGCATCCTAGGCAGTTGCCCAACCTTTAGCCCAGGACAGGGTCTTGCTGAGGTGACCAAGCTGGCCTTGTGTTCGGGAACCCCCTGCCTCTGCTGCGGGAGTGGCTGGAATTTTGGGGGCCTCCACCC